TTTCCTAACACAATTTCCAAGACCATGCATGATCTTATCTCGCTCGATTGACCTCTTGCTACTTTCTCTACTGAGTATATTCTATACTGTTTCCTTTCATTCTTTAGAACACAGTCATCTACTTATTACCTACTCTGAAAGAACTTCCTTTAGCATTCTCTTTATATAAATAGTTTTGATAGCTTCTTGTTTTTGTTGGTTTGCTTACCAAGTTTTTATACATTGTGGTTCACTATTCTTCATTTGTATTGTGTTTCATACAATCACTCACATGCATTATGTTTTATAAAACTGATCACCATTGGACCTTCCCCAACATTACCGTGTTTTCTCATCTGGATCTTTCCCAGTTCCTTCCCCTCCTCCCTCTACCCACCAAACTGTACAACCCTGTGGTGTCACCCCTACCCGTCCTCACTTCTCTATTCTCACCCTCCTCCCTTTGGGTTCCCATACATGTTTTACTATTTATCCTTAGCACTCTCTTTAAATCAATTCCTCATTCTCCTGGTGTCTATTAAACACCTTACACCATACTATGTTAATATCTGCATAACTCTTGCCATATTTTTAAATTATTTTGTATGTTGTTGTTGATTTTTATCAAGTTGAGCACAACACAAAGTCTTTCTATAACTATCATAATTTATCAAAGTTCTATCATCATTTATCAAAGATCACTTATTTTTGGTCTATAGGTTCTTCAACTTTATTGTTCCAATCACTAACTATAATATAAGCTACTTAAAGACAGGAATGTCTTTTCCTCTTGTGTTGCTGTTATTCTTAAGTGTCTTTGAGTTGCTTGCTACTCAAAGTGACCCTCTGCACAACATCTCTGGACCCTGCTGTATCCTGAGCCAACATTATTAGCTCTGCCACAACTAGCCCTATTAGCCTAGTCACTGAATCAGTCCGTCTCATCAAGGGGCTCCCTCACTTGAGCTGTCCTTCCACCCTCCCAAGGAAGATATCCCTCTCCAAGGACTGGTCCCCCCTTGCAACCTGTCCAAAGTATGTCAGACAAAGCTTCAGAATCCTTGCCTCCACCACGGAGCAGCCTGGTCTCACGCTCTCTAGGACAAACCTGTTTGTTCTCCTAACAGTATAGTCAATACTCATCTCCAGCACTACAGCTCAAAGGCATCGATTCTTCTATCAACTCTAGTCATTGTCCAGCTTTCTGATGCATAGAAGTAATTGAAAAAACCATGAGCTGGATAAGTCACCCCTTAGTTTCCAGACTGACATTGTTGCTCTTCAGTACTCTGGAAATGTCCTTGACAGCAGAATTTCCCAATGCAATTAATCTTTTAATTTCCTGGCTGCTGGTACTAAGAGTGTTGATTGTGGAGTCAAGCAAGCTGAATCTGTCAACAATCGCCACCTATCATGATGCTGCCAATTGGCGCAGTGGTAAGAATCTTTGTTTTCTTGGTGTTGAGCTTCAATTCATATTGAATGCAGACTTTGACTTTCTGCAGAAAATGCCTCAGGCCCTACTGTTTCAGCAAATAAAGTTGTGTCATTTACATAATGCAGGTTGTTGATGAGTCTTCTTCCAATCCTGATGCCACATCCCTCCACTTAGAGCCCAGCCTCTCTGATGATCTGTTCCACATATAGATTGAAAAGGTATGGAGATAGGATGCATCCCTGGCACACACCTTTCCTGATTTTGAACCATGCAGTGTTTCCTTGCTCTGTTCTGATCACTGCCTCTTGGTCCAAGAATAAGTTTCACATAAGCACAATCAAGTGTTCTTGGATTCCCATTCTTCTTAGAGTTAGTTAGAGTTTATTGTGATCCACACAGTCAAATGCCTTTACTTAGTCAATGAACCATAGATAGACAGTCCTCTGGTCTCTCTGCTTTCAGCCAAGTTCCATCTAACATTAGCTATAGCATCTCTGATACCACGGCCTCTTCTAAACACAGCCTACACATCTGGAAGTTGATTTCTTGTATTTCCAGTCTCTAGAAAAAAGCCTTGAAAGAATTATGTGCCCTCAAGTCAGAACTGACTCATAGTTGACCCTCTAGTAGATTTTTAGTGGCATGGGAGGAAATTGCTTATTGATATATTAGGTCTTCAACAAATATTGTTAAGTGTACCTGTCAATATTTCTCAAATATTCTGTAAAATCAAAATTTTATCCACAAAATATATGTTTTACCATGTAGAAATTCCCCTTCCTTGTTTAAAAACTTGTAAACAGCCCCTTGTTTAAATTGCATTGATTATTTTTTCTTTTATCCTTTTTTCATTTATTGTGATTTTAATAGAAATTTACAAGAAGTTGGGTTTTCATTAATTTCTTTTTGGGACATTGTGCCAGCTGTTGCCACTTAGTTTATATATCACAGTTTGAAATGCCTAATTGCTTAAGATATTATAATAAGAAATGTATGATTAGATTTCTGTTCCAGATCTTCAAGAATCTGTAATCTGTAATGTGGTTATGTACCGTAAAGTTGGAACTGACTCATAGCTGCCACTCCAGTGGGTTTTCACATGCCATAAATCACACAGGAGGTGACTGCCCATCTTTCTTCTGTGGAACAGCTGTTAGATTTGAACTCTGTGCCTTCTGGTTGGCATCACAACTCCTTATCATAGGCCTCCAGATCCCAATCTGTAAAAGATTTCAATTTAAAGGCTTTCAGTCATTGCAATACCCTGAACAAAATTAATAATGGCAAAAGTAATTTATAATATTGTTCATTACAGATAAAAATTACTAACCATTATGAGTTATTATGTGACTGATGTTTGAGATAGACAGAAAATATTGTTGTCATTAATGTTAAGTACCTGTCAATTAGCCATAATTCATAATAATCCTATGAAGAAGAGATTAAAAACCTTGCCCTATCTTGCATTCCACTCACGATCTCAAACTCATGCTCAAATCCACACTTACTGTCGTCATATCAAATCATCTCATTGAAAGTCCTCTCTTTTGCTGATCATCTACTATCTCTGAGCATGATGTCTTTTTCCAAGGACTGGTGTCTTCTGACAACATGCCTAAGATATGCAAGACAATATTTCACCATCCGTATCTCTAAGGATTACCCTAAATACATTTCATTTATAGCAGACTTCTTCTATGGTGGTTCATGGTGTATTCAATACTCTTTACTAGCACAATTTAAAGATAACATGTCTTGTTCAATCTTCCTTATACATTGTGCCACTTTCATGCTCATAAGAAGCAATTGAAAATACATGGGTGGAATTGGACCCACATTACTCCTTAAGCACATTTTTGCTTGTTTGCATTTTAAAGATGTTCTTGGCAGTAGACTTGTCCAAAGCAACATCTTCACTGATTTATTTTTTAAAATTTTTTTTATTGGCTTGCATACAATCATTTGTAAATATTGCATTTCATTCATGCACATTTTGTTTTATAAAATCATTCATGTACATTATGTTTTCTATAATTACTATTAATCTATGCCTATTATCACACTCTGTCTCTCCAAGTCCCCATTATATTCTTCCTATTATTTTACCCACCTTATCTGCCAACTCACCTCTGCCATGCTAGTGATTTCCCCCTTCCATCTTTTTCTACCCCTTCTCCTTTGAACATTTATACTTATCTTACTCTATTATCCTCCTATTTTCATGGTAGGGTCTTATGTAGAATTTATACTTTTGTGAATGAATTATTCTATTCAACATTATGTTCTCTAGATTTTCCCATGTCATGTTATATTCTATGAATACTTTGTTGTTCTTCATTGCTGCATAATATTCCATTGTGTGAATATGCCACAGTTTCTCTATCCATTTCTGCCTCTAAAAACCTGCTGGCAGGTCACCAGTCTGTTTTGAAGGGACATACAACAACATTTCTATAATATTTACTCCCCCCCATACACTTTCTTTTTAAAAGATAATATATAATAAAAAATTTTACTAAATTGTACATAAAGTGTTCTGTAATTCCTAGTCTTCTCAAGATTAATCATATTTTATTGATTGACACATTCAAAGCCTTTGCATATTAAGGAAAACACAAGTAAACCTCTTTCTGGTGTTCTCTGCTTTCAGCTAAGATCCAATTGACATCAGCACTGATGTTATCCCTTGTTCCTGTGCCTCTTGTGAATATAGTTTGCATTTCTGACAGTATCTTGTCAGTAGACTGCTCTAGGAGCATTTGAATAGTCTGCATTTCTGACAGTATCTTGTCAGTAGACTGCTCTAGGAGCATTTGAATAGTCTTCAGCTAGATCATACTTGCATTAATGTGAATAATAGTTGATAATTTCTGCATGTAAATGGATCACTGTTTTTTGGAATGTGTACAAATATGGATGACTTCTAGTTGTTTGGCCAGGAAATGGTCTTCTAAATTTCTTGGCACAGACAAGGGATCACATCCAGGGCTACATCAGTTTGCTGAAACACTTAAATAGGTACTCTGTCAATTTCTGGAACTTTATTTTCTGCAATTTCCCAGAAACAGCTCCTGCCTGCTCTTGTTTGACAGATGATTTTAAGTTTTACCACTGTTCCCCTCCTTCCCCCTATGGATGTTGTTAATTTGGGTCTGTATATTCCTGTAGGCAAGGTCCTTATATGTAGTAGCCATTTATTTTATATTTTTTTATGTTGTCAAGGATTTAATTATATTTTTTAATTGAGATTTTAATGAAAGTTTATAGAGAACATGGATTTCTATTCATTCATTGCTGCATAT